GATGTACATTTTGAAGATGAAATGAAATGGCAGAATTTTAGCATGTTTTGTATCTTAGATAGACCTTAATTATGTGTTTTATGTTAAATGAATGTTAGACATTTGTATAAGTAGGACTGTTTCTTTTATAAGATCATTTTATTAGCAATAATTGATAAGTAACATTAGATTGTGGAACTGAATTCCTTGAAAAGGCATGAGCATCAATTAGTATAATATGTGTGTTCAATTTGAGTAAGATGTAGGTTTTTGAACTTTTAAGTCTCGCGTGAGTTTCATAGTTAAATAATGTCAGTTTTGTTAATGCGTGTTATCAAATACCTTAGTTCGGAATTATTTTGGCAATTAATCCATGTAGGATATCAATTTAATATTGGTTGGTTAACAAAAATCTAGCTTTGAACTCGCGGACATTAGAATAGAAATAATTCGCAATTTTGTAATTGTTGAATCTTTAAGTAATAAAGACCCGCAAATTTAGGCAAACATAGGGACCCTTAACTTGTAGAATTAACGGGTTTAGCATATTTGAAGAGTGAATCCATATAGAAAGGCTAAGAACATTAATCCAATAGGCATGAGTCGAGTACAAAATGAGTTAATATTGAAGTTCAATATTTTTTCGAAAGAGCATTAGCTATTAAAGTTAATTCTAGTTGTCAATATTTTTAGGTAGTTAATACTCATGGTTTGTTCATTTAACAAAATGGGCTTAGGATAGTTATAAGACGTTTAGTTTCTTTTGAAAAATACTACTTGTCAATTTTGTACTTTATTTACAATTTCAATTTTTGTGATGTTTATTTTTCGTCAACAATGGTCGTAAGTTGGTAAATAATAAACCACGGCCTGATTAAGCAAGTAATTAATTAGGACTTTTTCTCTTTCATCTTTAGAGACGAACTTAATTAGCAGAACATAGTCACTTTAGGATTACCCTTTAAAATAAATGAGGTGTGCCTTGCCAAAAAAAATTACAAATTGCGGGGCCCTCACAAATGTATATATATTAATTACTTAGAACTCGGGATCGGCCGCTTAGCGAATTTCATGGCCTTTTTCCCAAAAATAATAACATGATAGTCTCTTTAGGTGCGTGCTTAATAATCTTACCTTTTTAAAATCGGGTGTGCATTTATGCGACCCAAATCCAAATCTCAACGGAGTCAAAATGCGTCAACAACCACGGGTGCATTGATTGCAACGTGGTTCGAAACGCATTTTCACGACGTTGTAATTCTATAATAATAAAAACGGTTTAAAGTTGATAAAAGCACATGAATTATAATATGTATTAAGATCAGATATCTATCCATTACAACAGTTTAAGCGACCGTGCTAGAACCACGGGATTCGGGGGTGCCTAACACCTTCCCTCGGGTCAACAGAATTCCTTACTTAGAATTTCTGGTTCGCAGACTTCATTTGGAAAGTCGAATATTTTCCTCGATTCGGGATTCAATCGTTGACTTGGGACACCACAAATCTCCCAAGTGGCGACTCTGAATTAAATAAACAAATCCCGTTTCGATTGTCCTTTAATTGGAAAAAATCCCTTATACCCTTACGGGGTAGGAAAAAGGAGGTGTGACAGACGTGGCAATAGACGAAATTATAATCGTCATCATTGTGGTAATGAGAACAATAAGGATTCTCAAAATAATCCTTCACTTTGTGAAAGTAATATTTGTTATCGATTTGACATGAGATTTCGAAAGCGCATAGAGATGGCTATTGTCCATTCATGATGTGAATGTGACAACATGTGATTTATGAATACATATTCATTCTTGGAAGAATATGAACGTGCTAGTGGTAGTGAATATACCACACTCACCTCTAGAATGAGGTTTAAGGGGAAATAAGAAAATAATGTCATTATTATGGCATAAATGGTCATTACGCCAAAATATTTTGGCAATGTCATTATTAAAAGACAACGGTAATGCAAGAAACATATCTTGCATATAATTTTGACCATAACTATAGTGGTATAACTTAGAAAGTACATCTGACCCACCTAACTCCGACGAAATAGCTTCAAAATAACTTTCGTACTCAGCCATAGAGGTTATTTGCCGGAGTTTTGCTAATCTCCCTTTCGCTGACACGAGCCCTTTCTGTTTAAATCGAATTCTCACCTTATCAGCAAAATGTGGCCAATCAATTAATTGATTGTTTCTAACTAACCACTCGTACCATTCCAATGCTTCACCTTCGAGGTAAAACGACGCCCTAGTAAGCTTCCGATCATCTTTAATTTTATAAAAATCGAAATAACGTTCTGCTTGGAATATCCAAGTCTCCGGATTCTCGCCTCGAAACCACCATAATTTTGCGTCCATAGCTGTATCTCGGGGTTGAAAAGAGGTCATAGCCTTTCCCTCCATAATCTCCAACAATACAGAACGAAGTCCAGCTAGATCCTTAGAAATTGAATCCTTCATTTGTTGAACTGAATCACGAATTGAATTATCAACGAAAGCCTTGAGTACTTTTTGGTCCTCCATTGGAGACCTCTGGATGAAAGTACCAATGTAACAAACCCGATATTACACCCAACCAACTGATTATATTAACTCAACAGTAATTGTGATTACAATGTAGATGCTAACGATAATAAGGATAGAGCAACATAAATCTAAGAAGAACACCCATGAATGCTAAAAATATCAAAGGTGAATGTATACCACATAAGATGCATCTATGAGATGGTTACATGTGTGATTATTATTAACTCGCAACCTGGTGTTTGCGAGGTAACTTGCTCAATAATTTAATTTCGAACATAATTTTCAGATTTTCTATTCAAGAAGTTCTTCTTGATAAGTTGGTTTACATCACAGTTGGTTTAGCAAAATAATTTATTGGGCGCCTCAACTTAATAACTAAACTATTGCTTATGAGAACAAAGTTATCTATAGCAGTTTGATATAGGTTATATACGAAAGTATATTACATTCTCCCCTCACAAGTGGTTCGGGGTCAGGAACCAAATAATTTCATCTTATTATTATTTATGTGCGGTGTATATTTTGATTAACACCATAACAGACAAAGGTGAGTTCCCAAAATTGAGAAAGAAAGTTAGTTTTTCTAACATGAGGGGGAGACAGGATAAACAGTTGAGAAAAAGTTGCGCGGAATGAGTTATCATGTGTACATCTAGATCCTCGAATAAAATAATATGAACTTGAAGTTCATAAAAGGGTAATTCATTTGCAATATATTGCAAAGCATGTCAGACGCATTTGCTGACCCAAAGAAAGTAACTATATTCTCACTGAAAATGCTCCTATTAGAATAAGTCCTAGAAGGACAAAGCCTATCGTACGCTTAAAGCATATAGACAAATTGGTTTCAAATAAACTTCTTGATAAAGAAGATGAGCAAATGATCAAAATGATCATAGTAAGGAGGCAAGTGATCTAGAAGATCACATGACATAACACTTTATAAAATCTCATGAGAGGTTTAGGTACATGAATATATGAATGAAGAGATCTCTATGTTATATCTATATGAAAATAAAGAGGTTGGAACCGATATAAAATGTTCGTCGGCGACATCTATCATGACACTAAATATATATGAGGACCTTAAGTCTAGGAAATAATTCAAGTAGAATTGATTCCATATGAAAAGACATGTAGTTTTGGACCTGCAGTTCAAACACTTGAAAGTATAAAGTCAATGATATGTGCAATCAGTTTTCGATATCTTATTTGTCTAGCATGACATGAAAATTTGATATGCATCTAATTAAAGTCTATTATATGACTTATATGACTTAACTTATATAAAAATCCTTGGAGGATTTAAATCGCTTAAAGCATATAAAATTCTTGGTCATGAAGTACTACTCCATCCTAAGTACAATTTGTGCACATTTGTATCTTGCTATAATTATAAGCATGATGATGTGATAACGTGAATTTTCAAGGTGCAACATATTCATTGGAGTTAATATGGGTGATTTATTCACCAACTCTTTGCCGACATCAATATTCAAGAAGCTAGTGCACAAGACTGGGATGCGAAGACTCAAAGATGTGAATTGATGCTCTCATCAGGGGGAGTGAATACGCGTTGTACTCTTTTTCCCTTACAAAGTTTTGTCCCACTGGATTTTCCTTGCAAGTTTTTTAACGAGGCAACTAAAAGGCGTATTTCTATACATGTGTACTTTTTTTCCTTCTCTAGATTTTTTTCCCATTGGATTTTATTTTAGTGAAGGTTTTAACGAAGCACATTATCTATTGATAGACATTCAAGGGAGAGTGTTATAAATAGAATTGTATTTAAAGTGAATGTCTATATTTAAAGAGATTTTAGGGCTTGCTACTTGGTGGCTAAGTTAATTTTCCCCTATAAATAGAGGGGTCTTATTCCATTGTAATTAACTCCAAATCAATAAGAATACTCTCTCTCTTTATCTCCAATACTTTCTTCTTTTTTTATTGTTCTTTTATTGTTTTATAACAATCTTATTTGATATAAACGATATAAGTACTTAGCTACAAAATATTAAGAAAAATTTGATCTTACTGCATTTGGCTTGTGCTCAGCACGGGTCAATAACCACTAGTCAATAAATACATGTAATTTACTCCATTCATTTCAATTAATATGACATTATTTTCTTAATGTCCATTCAAAAAATATGATATATTATTAAAATTTAAAAATATTTTTAACTTTTTAATTTTTGATTTTTTACTCTTAACGAAATTTGTTTATAACCACACAAATATTATGAGATAATTAAATTTAAAATTTAGAAATATTGTGATTTGTTAAAATACACATTTAATTTTTTCCCGAAACTTGTAGTAAATCGTTGAAGCGGTTAAAGACGTCGGCGTCGTTATCATCTCACCGTTAATTCCTATCTCATCCAACGGCTTAAGATCACGATCCACGTGATCTACTCTAATTGGTCCAATTTAAAATCCTTCACCTCTATATAAAAGCATCAAAACCCAGTAGATTTGCTCAGTTTTTACATTCATCTTTTCCGTAGAGTTCAAAACTTCAAAGCAAAATTCTTCTATAATGGCTGGTAGAGGAAAAACCCTAGGTTCAGGAGCTGCAAAGAAGGCTACATCCCGTAGTAGTAAAGCCGGTCTTCAATTTCCGGTCGGTCGTATCGCCCGTTTTCTTAAAGCCGGCAAGTATGCTGAGCGAGTCGGTGCCGGAGCTCCGGTCTACCTCGCTGCTGTCCTTGAATACCTTGCTGCTGAGGTTAATTTTGTCATTTACCTCTTTAATTCTTCCGTTTTTTCATGATTCAATTTATCTGAGTTTCAAATGCTAGGGTTTACAATTCCTCTGTTATGTTAGATTTTCCCTAGCATTTTTTTTTATTTAGAAATTTTCCTTATTTTTAACCAAAAAAATATGAATTGATTAGGAGTACTAGGTCAGCTCCTATTCGGTATTAATTTCTTCATGTTTTATGATAAAGTTTATATGCAGATAATACTTTGTTATAAAATACGTTTTTTTTTTTTGATAATTTACATTTCAAATAAATTTGAAAAATTCATTGCTGAAAGGGAGAAATGGTTTGAGGAGCCAAAGATTGAGGTCAAATCATAGGATTTTTTGGTTAATTCAGATATTAATTTCTTAAATTTCGGTTTTTTTTAATCTAAAAACAAAAGAAAATCTTAATTTTGTAAAGTGAAGTCTATAATAACGCGGTGAATATCTTAGAAATGTTTGAAAGAAAATTTGTTTCGCTCTTCAAATACACATGGCCTTAAATACTATGAAATTGGAGGATTAATTAAATTTTTTAATTACTACGTTTTTTATTTTTGGAGGTGTTGTTTAGGTGCTAGAATTAACTGGAAATGCAGTCTATAATGACTGAAGTAATATGTAAGAAATTTTTGAAAGAGACGAGGTGTTGAATAAAAATGAAATTGGTGGAGTAATTAAAACTTTCTATTACTATGTATCTGATTTGTGGGGATGAATTTTGGTGTTGTGTAGGTGCTAGAATTGGCAGGAAATGCAGCGCGAGACAACAAGAAGACGAGGATAGTGCCAAGACATATTCAATTGGCAGTGAGAAACGATGAAGAACTCAGCAAACTCCTTGGAGATGTTACAATTGCCAATGGTGGTGTCATGCCCAACATTCACAATCTTTTGCTCCCTAAGAAATCTGGTGCTTCTTCTAAGCCCTCTGCTGATGAAGATTAAATGGGTCTAAACATGGTTTCGTAGTAGCTGTGCTTTGTTTTAGAGTAGGATTTTTGGTTTTGCTATTTTCTTTTTAGAATAGTTGGTAGGGGTTTATGTTGGTTTGTGAATACAACAAATGAAACAATGAATGAAGACCACTGTCTATTTTCTTACAAATGAAACAATTATTGTTATTGCTTTTACATGTATCGTCTGTTTCTTAAGATGCTTATATTATTTTTCTGGTTTTTGTTGTTGTCTATTGTTTATTTTCTTCTTGAGCGGAGGGCTTTTGGTAAACAACCTCTTTACGGAGAGGTAAGGTTTGTGTACACTCTATCCTTTCTAATTCTTACTTGTGAAATTTTATTAGGTCGTTGTTTCAAAATGGAATGCCATTGTGAGTAGGTGATACATACCGGTATCTATTTTTTAAACATACATGTACAATTACTTAAGTTAATTGATGCAAGCTAAGCCAATATGCGAGGTGCATGTTATTAGAATTTTTGATAGAGAAAGAAGGATAAAAGAGGAGAAATATAGAAATGAACATATTATTATTGCCTACTATATAGAAATGGACTTTTGTGATACAACAAACCTACTATCAATTACATTGAAACGTTTTAGATTTGAAGTGAAACAACACTCTTATATATTGAGTGTTGGTAGGCTGGTAGTTAATTCCTGCAACTATTCAGATTAGATATAGAGTCATGTCCTTTGGAATTTAACTTTTGAAATAATAAGAATAATAAACTACACAACATATATAGCTATGAAAGTTGTTTTTCACTTCCATTGCGAGACAATACTGCATTGCCCATTAGGTTATACTCTTATGATTTGGTCAAGTGGATATTCCAAAAATCCACTATTACACGTGGCTATTTTGGGTTGGCTGTAAGAGAGGAAATCTTCAATGGGTTGGATTTTTTTAAACATAATGTATCTAAAAGAATCTAGTCATGCTTAACGGTGCTGAACTTTGCCAAATGGACATGAAACGAATAAAATAAAAATATAGCAAATTGTCATTCACCAATTATAAAACAGATGATGATATTCTAGGATGAGGACTTTGGTCCTACCTAGTTATTTATATACAGTTGCTGCAAGCCCATTAAACTCAAGCCATAAATCAAATACTCTTTCTGTGTAGTAGTTGCATTCAAGAGACAAGAGTATCTCACTTTATTTCTACAATGGCAGCTACTACAATGGCTCTTTCTTCCTCTTCTTTTGTCGGAAAGGCGGTGAAACTCTCACCGTCTTCCTCTGAGATCACCGGAAATGGAAAAGTCACCATGAGGAAGACTGTTACCAAGGCCAAGCCAGTCTCTTCTGGCAGCCCATGGTATGGTCCTGATCGTGTCAAGTACTTGGGCCCATTCTCCGGTGAGTCTCCAAGCTACTTGACTGGTGAGTTTCCTGGTGATTACGGATGGGACACTGCTGGACTTTCAGCTGATCCAGAAACTTTTGCTAAGAACCGTGAGCTAGAGGTGATCCACTGCAGATGGGCCATGCTTGGAGCTCTTGGTTGCGTCTTCCCCGAGCTCTTGGCCCGTAATGGTGTCAAATTCGGTGAGGCTGTATGGTTCAAAGCTGGATCCCAGATTTTTAGCGAGGGTGGACTTGACTACTTGGGCAACCCAAGTTTGGTCCATGCACAAAGTATCTTGGCCATTTGGGCTTGCCAAGTCGTGTTGATGGGAGCCGTTGAGGGTTACCGTGTTGCTGGTGGGCCTCTTGGTGAGGTTGTCGACCCACTCTACCCTGGTGGTAGCTTTGACCCATTAGGCCTTGCTGATGATCCAGAGGCTTTTGCTGAGCTCAAGGTGAAGGAGATCAAGAACGGTAGACTTGCTATGTTCTCCATGTTTGGATTCTTCGTTCAGGCTATCGTCACCGGAAAAGGTCCATTGGAGAACCTTGCTGACCACCTTGCTGATCCAGTTAACAACAACGCCTGGGCCTATGCCACAAACTTTGTTCCAGGAAAGTGAAGTTCTTAAAAATGTCTCCTGTGGTTTCTCATTTTTTTATGGAGCTTGTAAAGCTATTGTAAATTAGTGAAGATTATATGTGAATTTTGTTTAATTGTGTAGTTCTCAGTTACATTTTATGTGCTTTCCATGAATTAAGTATACAAGTTAAGAGGTTACTATAACAAATGCTACATAATAGTAACAACAGAGCGTTTTAACGTTCAAACAAGAATTTGCAGAGCAAAGAAAATTGATAGTGAAAATAGAAGGGAAACTAAAAACTAAAGGGAATTCTTTTTCTTGATTAGTATTTCTTAAACATTATGTAACATATTGGATTATCCCCTAAAAAACAACATTTTGGATACATTACAAAAAGCCATTGCCTAAGAGACCAGTATTGTCAAAGGCTCGCGTAAAACATGCTTTAAACCCTGAAGCTAGGTGCAAAACAGGTTGAGCGCTTTGCCTCGCTTAACAAGAACTTCAATTCAATCACAATCCATTGACACTAAACAATAAATATTTCACTATTTTAAAATCTTTTGATTCCTTTGTCCATATTACTTCATTGGTACTTTGAATTATTATTCTTAAATTATAGATATATTTCTGTAAAAAAAATTCTTGCACCCTTTTTCATTAAAGCTCGGGTGTTACTTACACATTAAGTGCGCGCCGATAGGCGCCAACGCTTTTCGCCTTTGACAACACTACATAGGGAATAACTCATTATAACATGGACCACTTTTTGAGACACCATATGTGATAACTGATAATCAACAGAGTTACTTTTTTCAAATACATTGAAACAAAGAATTACAGGCTAAACTAAGAAAATAATGCATGAGAATTTTCCTAAATAATTTTAACTACAAGTAGGAGCTTCAAGAAAGGAAATATTGATATAGAAAGAACCATGTAACAGGTAGAATTTGTAAGCATATCTTCTGTCTGATCTCTCTCTGCTACAACTGAAGCTTCCTTATCTACCATACTTGATCTCTAAAATGAATGAGTATTTAAACAAGCTTTCTCCGTCCCCTCCGAAACCTGTGCCAACCGGACAAAGAAGTGATCTTAGTGTATCATCTACGCATATAAAGCGAAAGATAGAAAACAATGGAAGCTGAAAATCTGTATAGGTAATACTAACAAGAAGAATAGCGCTTACTAGAAGACGCGTTAGTACGGAGAATTGTAATATTATGAATCCAAAATGAGGCATTTATGATAACGAGGATTTATATCGCCAACTCCAACTAGCTTGGAATTGAGGCGCGGTTGTCATAGGTGTATATACAAATGTTGGCTTAACATCATAGAATCATAGACTACATTTTTTTTATAACCGTAGTGTCAGGCCAGTTTACGTGCACCTCCACTAATTCCACAGGATACCTACCACCTCCCACTAGCAACAGGTACCAAGTAACTCTATCCACCAAGGCTTGGACAGATGGGAAGAAATCACATAGTGTTTTTGCCTCCGTTGGGANAAAATTACTTCATGCTTTCAACATAAAAAGAAAGCTTATGACTCGTAAACTGCTCGAGTACATGATAAAGAAAAAGTCATAGGCAAATCTATTGATTTTGATTCTTAGGGCTAGCAAGTAACATATCATATATTTGAAAATATATACTTAATACTTAATGCAACATATTATATTTTAATCATTTGCTCTGCTTTTAAGATTTTATGTTTTAATAGGTCTACAATTTAAGGTAGAAATTACCCTATTTTATGAATAGTTTAGTAAATGCATCACTTTTAAGCTCTTAGTATATATCTATTCATTAGTAATTTGTAGATTAATGATGTGTTATGAACTAAAAAGTGATAAACAAGTACATTAAATCAGTGATTTTACCCTTATACATCTATTTTTATACATTTTTTAAGTCATGAAATTAGAATTAATAGACCCGGTGTCTCCTAAGCAGACAAAATTAAAGCAAGCAAATGAAGAAAAACACAGAGCCAGTTTCACCTTGATGAAACCTTACCTTAAGGAGTATCATCATCTGAACTAGAATCATCAATTCTCCGGTCGGCAATAGCTGGAAAAAGCTTCTGACGGAGATTGAGGGACGGTAAATTGGTGGACTCTGAAGTTTTACCTGCCAAATTCTCTTTCTTTGGCGTGCCATTTAGCTTTCTCTGAGCATTTTTCACCTCTATGCATACCTTATCTAAAATTACCAGAAAATCTCGAACAATAACAAACAATCGCAAACCTTCATCTTTCCCTGAATTCCCGTGGAAATAGTCACCCGTGCTCTTAACTAGAGCCATAATTCTTTTTTCTTCCTCGAGTAACCACATGATGTCAACCTCAGCGTTCTGCACAAAACTCTTTAAGGTCTGGAGAAACCCGTTCTCATCATCCACGTTCTTCATTTCTGAATTTAGGAAATCCCGTGACTTTTTGAGTTCGTGACCAAGCTTGGACACTGTGCCTGTTAAGCTATCCGCATCTAAAATTGCAGCTTTTTTCACATTTTCAAGTTCACTGCTCAAACCTGAAACGACCTGGAGACCAGTACTTCGATAATACTCCTCCGATTCCTGAGACTGATCCTCGGGTAGATTGCTGCCTCGATCCCTGGAACGGGCAGCTCTTACACCTTCTGAACGGATTATCTCTTGAACAACAAAATGCAACAACGTAGTTTTCCCATCTATCCCTTTTACATCGGATAGTTTTAGAAGCGTGTCAAGTTTAAATGCTTGAGCACCACCACGAAATGTTCCATCATTCATACGATTGCCAGTTTTTAGAACAGCCTCAAGGAGCTTGTGAAACAGCCTGCTTTTCCGGAGTTCCGTGCAAGCAGCCTGGAGCATAAATGAAGATGCAGCAAACGCCAATGTCAGTATATCCTTAGAAAACAAAAGAATGTTAAGGTTTTAAATGTAAGGAGAAAGAGGAAGAACAGCATGTAGCGATATGCTGGAAGTAATGAAATCCCTACAACTCATTAGTTAATCTGACAAGTTGACCTAGATTAAACTTTCAAGTACTTTCAAGTAGTTTAGTGCAGAGGCGGAGCCAAGATTTAAAGCTTATTGAGTTCTGAATTTGCCATCAAACTCATAACTCCTTTTAGTTACTGGGTTTGCAATTAAATATTTATACATATTTAATGGAATTCCTAATAAAAGACAGGGTATAAGCAAAAGCTAGTGGGTTCATCCGAACCCGTAGCTAATATTGTAGCTCCGCCCCTGGTTCAGTGGACTCCAACCAATAGGAAAACAACTACAAGATAGGAATATTTACAAATAATCCAACAGTTCATCACGATCAGGAACATTTATCTCACCTCCAAAGTGGCAAATGATTCTTTAACCATTGATGTCTCCTCCTGAAGACTGCACATAAAAAGCAAGGATTCAAGCCTCTTGAAGGCAAATGGAATATCAACCAAGACTTTCAAGAACCGCTCTGCAGGCCCAAGCCGAGAGAGATCCCCATTATAGAGCCTCAGCTTCAATTCTTCATCGGTAGTTGGAGCCATCTTAAGTAAAGTTTGAAGGAGTTCAGGAGGCAGCTCATTTCCTGAGTCAGTATAAAACATTAGTTACTGCTTTGGTAGATGCAAATGTACAAAAACCAATATTCCCATTTCCAAGAAATAGCACCCAATTAAGTGACCAATATCAACTGATACTACATACTCCTCCTTTCCCATATTACCTACATACTTTTTTATATCACCTATCCCAAAGTGACGTCACCCTTGCCAGTAAAACAAAAAAACTTTACCTTTTCCAAGAATTCAAAACCATATAAAGTCAAACTACCTATATTTGTCTTTACCATGACGATAAACCTTTGCAAGTAAGCATTTCACTTTTCACATTTTGAATACTTTTACAGAAATCTCGAGTATGATGATCCAGTTAAACTTCTTCTCTTAATCTCTGTAGGGGTAACTATCATATCTTTTGAGACAAATGGGGTATAACATAGAAGCAAACTCCTGTTAGGGGTAAGCATCAAATAGTTTTTTCTCGAACATTTTGACAACCGACAAAATAGTAGAAAATGATTTATCTTTTAGGATAAGGATGAATGCAAGTAGAATCATTAGAAAATCATTTTTTTAATAACAATAGTGTCCAAGCCACCTTGCTCGCACCTTAACTATCCCAGCGTCTACCTATTACCTCCCATCAGGTACTGAGTACTCTTCCCACCCGGACTTAGGCAGATGGGAAACAATCACCTAGTATTTTTGTCTCTAATGGAAATCACTAGAGATCATGATATACTAATATAAATAAATTTTATAGGACTTAGAAACAATTTTCTTTCTTTTCAGAGGGGGATAGACAATTAAAAGTAGTTGAACATGACGTTTTCAACTTTTCATTGAGTAGCCAAGTAAGAGAATGATGAGGTGATCAGTGAAACTCAAAAGAAAATTAGCAGAAAACATCTTAAAATGCTTTCCTTCGAGTAAACGAGCTTATTTAAGTATTTAAATTAAAAACTTTTCTACCTTTCATTTGATTGCACGTGATAATTAAAGCCAATAGTACTCTTTCAGTTCTCTGAATAAGGAAGAAAGGAACAGGAGATCACCTTCTTTGAGAGCATCACAGACTTCTTCAGTTGTCACGTTTAAGGCTTTAAGAAGAATAGATAAATTCTGTGCCTTCCTTTGATCAATAATTTGAACATATTGTTTGGAAGCATCTTGGGACGTAGAGTCCTTTGAAACGTTCTTGTTTTTGTCAGCAGGAGCATATCCAAAGAGACTCTCTATCATCTCTTCATCAAATCTGACAAACGATATGCACTGTTCATTTAGAAACCTTACTCCATCAAAACAATCGTAGAGCAATGTTAAGCAAGAAAAAGGTACACTTACTGGAAAGATCCTGATTTGATCTGATGCCAAACCATTGAATGGTCAGGGTTGGCTAGAACCTTATCCCAGAAGAAAGGCTTTAGCTTAGTTTTAGAAGCGTCAGCCCCTGATCCCTCAGCTGAAGCACTAGAGGATGCGTTTGATCCAAGAGGTGAAGGTCGAGGCGGCTTCAACCCCGTGGGAGGAGGACGAGGTGGAGTAGCACCAGGACCAGGAGGTGGTGGTGGCCGAGGACCAGCCTTCGCACGAGTTGGTATAGGTGGGGGTGGAGGAGCCCCTGGTGCAGGAGGGTGTGGACCGCTAGATGAAGGTTTCTGTGGTGGTGGAGGTGGAGGTGGAGCAGCAACATTGGCTGGTTTGGCAGGAGACAGTGGGTCTTCAAAAGGATTCACCCTACCCGGGGGAGGCTTAAGTGGAGGCAGTCCATGCGTCCCCATCCTACCGGGCGGTATCTGTGCAGAATCCCCTGCTGCAGCCACAGCAATGCCCGTAACAGTTCCCAAAGGTATCTCGGTTTTGGAAACATTAACACCGTTTGGCTCCATATAGAAACTTTTACCCATTTTATCGTCGGAATTGTCACTGACTGAATGATTACCAGCATTACCCATTGAAGCTCCTAAAACTGATGACTTGTGTAATGAAGCTGAAAGATTGAAATCTCAGAAACATCAGTATACCAAAAGCAAAAATCAATACTCCCTCTGTTTCAATTTGCTTGAACCTTTTCGGAGTACGAGGGTCAAATTGACTAATTTTCAGTATGAATTCAGACATAGATTCTTTAAGTTATTTGAAATAAATTAACATATTTAGAAACTACATAAAAAGTACTATAAGTCATAATAGTTAACAATGCAAAATACTTAAAAACTATTTGCAAAAAATATGGTCAAAGAAAACCTTGTTTGACTCCCCAACTAGTAATAGGTTCATTCTCTTTGAAAACGGAGGAAGTGTATTATATACATACACATATTTATATATACAAGGGAAACAAGGAATAGTGAGTGTACCAACAGAATATTCGCTCATGCTTAAGCTGAGAAGAGGTCTCTCGTCATTCCTTCCTTTTCTGGATCCAGCCCCACAAACCTTGCAATAGCATACAAAAAAGAGTGCAACAACAACAAATGTGACTGCAGCAGTCACAAGAACTGCAACAAGAACTGTTTTCCTGTTGCTTTTTCGCTTATTTGAGTGTACATCCGAAGTAGCATTTTGACTAGTAGAAGAATGATCACTAGGTGCAGAGCTTTTGCTTGAATCATTGTAGTCTCGAGGAAAAAATGGCTTTGAAGGAGGACGGGCAGGTGGCGTAGAATTCGGAGTTTCAGAACTGGAAGTTGCTGGATTAGGTGAAGGAGCGGAAGCAGGAGCAGAAGCAGGAGCATCTCCGACCTGAAGCAATTCACGCCGTGTAGGTGCATTGTACCAGGAAAAGAGAAAGTCGGTGCACCTGGTATACCATGTAGGTAGATGCTTCTCCTCTCCCGAAATAAGAAACAGGAGATTTTTCTTCACCAAACAACGCACAAGGGCTTCCTTAGTGAATTGATGCAAGATATTGACATGTTTCTCTTTATTTTTAGTTAACCGTCTTCTGTTAGAAAGGATTTCGTGGCTCCCACTTGATTCTTCAACATCTTCAACAGCGCCATTAGCATGTAATAACTCTAGCCTACAGTTCACCCATAACACTTCAGCCTGCAGCAGAAGATTACAATCAGAATTGCTTATGAATACTTATTCTCAAAGACGTACAAATGAAAATACTACCGATAAATATGTAAGGGGAGAGTTATTGATGCTGGTCCGAATTAAAAAACTTGGAAGTATGGAAAATTGAGGGGAAACATTTGGAACTTCTGATGAAGGAGTGGCTGAAGTTTGGATCAATATATAGGGAAATTGGCAGCAGGTAAGTGAAAGGAAACTATAGACCAGTAGAATGTAGCGTTGCCAAAAGCGAAAAGCATAAGAAGTGCCTCGCTATAAGGTCTAGCTGGTCGAGGGAACAACACAACAATCACCTAGTTGATCTCAGGAATGAACTCAAGATTCCATCTAAATGAAGTGATGCATAGATTGCTCACATTCTTTCACAAAATGGCACATCAAATGCTTCACAAATTAAAAAGTGATGCTAAAGAGAAGGAAAATTATTACACAATATAAAGTTTGTAAACATGGATACGGAAACATATGCTCATTATGACGAAATACTGCTACATATAGTTCTCAAAAGTGGCGGGATCAAGTAATGTAAATTTTTCATCGAACTGCTCCATAGGAACAATCCATGACATTCATTCTATCCCTGTCCAAACACACTATTCTCTTAAGTAGAAATTAAGCAAACCAAAGAAACCACTTAACACTTCAAAAACAAAAAATATTCAAACGGCATGTAAAATGAGTCAGCTAAAGAAGAGAGTTAGTACCAAGTCATGGTTGATCTCCCCGGAACTGATTTGATTGACCAGCAAATGTTCCACCGACGTCTTGCTATCGGGATTTGCTGCTACTATAATAAAAAGAGTACTGATAAAAAAACACAATTGGGCTACTCCCCTTACACCCATTTCTTCTTGAATCAGCATAAACAAAGCAAGCAATGCTTATCATGAATAACTCAACATACCCCCAAACCCCTTTTTGTTCCCTCCTCAAATCTCACAAAAGGCCAAGTCTTTGCAGCATTTACCACTAACCCTATGGAAATCTTCTGAAGAACACCTTTCAAATATCCAAATCACAAACTTCTCAAATAAAAACTCACTGACCAACTTCCTATTTTCATGCAAGAACTCAATATAGTGCCATCAAACACACTGTATAAACCAATAAACCAAAAGATTTCACTCCCTCTTGAAAATCCCACTAAAGGTCAAGTCTTTACTGCATTTACCACCAACCCTGTTGAAATTTTCTGAAGAACACTTCTCAAATATTAAAACCACAAACTTCTCAACAAAACTCTCACTGACCCACCTCAGATTTTCCTTCAAAAAACTCAAAAACCCTCTTGAAAATCCACAAAGATCAAGTCTTTACTGCATTTACCATCAACCCTTTTGCAGTCTCCTGAAGTACACGTCCCAAATGTCTAAATCACAAACTTTTCAACAAAAAACTCAGTGACCCCACCTCAGATTTTCAAGCAAAAAAACTCAAAAATACCAAAACAGATTTCACCCATCTTGAAAATCCCACAAAGGTCAAGTCCTTACTGCCTATACTACCGACACTACTAAATTCTTCTCAAGACAGCCTCTCAAATATATTAACCACAAACTTCTCAGCAAAAATCTCAGTGACCCAACTCAGATTTTTCACGCAAGAACATCCAAACAGTGGCATCAAACAACACACTGAATAAACCATAAAATAGAAAGGGAAAAAAAAAACTCAGCTTTAACACAAAAGGCTAACTGACCGAATCAAGAAGTAGTCAATTCAAGAAGGCAATATTGTCAAAAACAAACTACAATAATTCCAATGAATTGGCCATCAAAGCCAAATTCTTTAACTTGGGTTTTTATCAGATCGAGCAAAAAAGAAGCTAAAAATACAAAAAGAATAAAGAATTGTAAAGGGTGTGTTTAGAGAAGGCGCGTGAGTTGACCAGAGAAATTTCTTTGTGTGGAAAGTGAATTTTTCTTTTGTGTAGAAGGCAGCCGTGTCTGAACGCAGATGACAATGTTTTTACTATCTTTAATGCTGTTTCTTGTTATGTTCAATTTATCTAGAAGAAAACAATTTAGATATTTTTGTTCACTTCATTTTTTTTCTGTTCAACCAGTAATTGACTTTAATATTTACACACCACTATGTGTAAAAATATGTATATATATAATATGATTCATACTAAGTGTACATTGACAGTTTAGAAAACAAAATAATCAGTTAAATTGTATTTGATAGTGAATTTTTTTTTATTATAATAAGTAGTAGACACACTTTTAGTTTTTGTTGATAAATTATCATTATCATAGAAATAAAGGAGAAAATGAGTCGGAAAGGCACAAATTGGAAAGATGAAGAAAATGATGGGAATTAGCTCGGATATCCTATTCTGAAATTTTCCTCATTTGCATGTTTTATTTTAGTACCCTAAAAACTTACTAGGGATTGAATAATTACAGTTTATAATAATTCTCCTTAACTACTTTATCGCATTCGAGTTTTTGGCCAATAGTGTCCTTTATCTTTGAGGGTAGGTCTATTTTGGTCCCTCAAATATAATCTCGAGCATATTTAGTCCCTTAAGTATGCTAAAGTGGAGCACCTTTAGTCTCACTGACAGAATGTGTTAAAAAACTAACGGTGGTAACCAACTCTGATTCATGAAGCGAATATTCTGCTCTGAATCAAAACGTTTCCTCTCCTTTTATTGGATAACGCAAATTATTATTTTAATTTCTCATTTTTAGATAACGTCTTCTAAAATTTTGAACTTGAAAATATCCCCTTCCGTGTCAGTTTCAATGAGAAAATGACACTTTAGAAAAAATATATAAAATTTGTATATCATTTTGTATATACATAAATTTTGTATGTTAATATACAAAAATTATACAAATTTTATATACTTTTTCGATTACCAGATGTAAATAGTTTTTGGCACGGGCTAAAAGTGATAATACAATCTGGTTTTTCGTTTGCTTCAATAATATGCTCATACGTGATCTTGGCAGCTCTATTTTTTTCAAATTTTAACTTTTTTTCTTTTTGAAAAAATCAACCGAATTTTTTAAAGTAAAAGTTTCAACGTTAAAATCTTAAATTTATTAGCTCTGTACTATTAGTGGGTGTTGGTTTATAAAATATTTTCGATAAGTAAATTAAAAAGACAGTGAGTGCCGAAACCAATCCCGTAATTGATCTTCGACAGATTTTGTTAGTGAGATTAAAGATGCTCCACTTTAGCATATTTAAATAGGGGCGGATCTACCATGTAAAACATGGTTCACGTGAACCCATAGTCCTCGGGTTAAAGTATAGATATGATGTATATAATTTGGCGAAAACAAATATGTATACTTGATGGAACCTATGGTCAAAAAGGACCAAGTGGTGCATTGGTTTTGGTCTCTTATTTCTAATAGCCTAAGGTCAGGGGATCATCCTACCAACCTTTTTGTTTAATTTTTTTAAAAAAAAGTAATAGTGCACCCTTCCTCCGAAAATTCTAAATCCGCCTCTGTATTTAAGGGATTAAATATACTCTGAAATATATTTAAGGGACCAAAATAAACTTACCATAAAAAATAAGGAATAATATTGGCCAAAAATCTATCCCTAAGAAAGAAAAAAAACTCGGAAAGGTATACATTTTGCATGTTGGATTTTGGGGGAAAGTATGCTACCAGGTATTATCATGGATATTATTTTCTCTTCTCATGATATCTTCCTTGCACAATTTTCAAGAATTTAAATTTATTATCTTTTCAACAAATACTTTTATATATATATAAGTCAAACTAATATCTTAAACTTCATGCATAATCTAATGTCGTGAGACAAAATAAAAGGTCATCTTCCTAAGATTCATTGGCTCTTGATATCGTTTGCATGCTTCTTCTTCTTTTTTTTCTTTTCCAAATGGCAGTGACAGTTAACGTCAAGCAAAGTATTTACTAAAAAAGATCTAACTCCGGGTATGTTTGGTAAATATTTTTCTGTAAAATATTTTTATGAAAAATAAGTGGTTTTATCACTTAATTTCCCTTGTTTGATTGGTGAATGAAAACTTTTTTCCCGAAAAATACTCTTTTTGTTTTAATAAAAGAAAATAATTTTTATTGCATTATTTTGTTGATATGAAAGAAAATGTTTCTTCTATATCATGAAAAGAAAGTACTTTTTTTGTTAATTTTTTTTTGTATCGTAAAAAGAAAATGCTCATTTNTGAGTTGGGGTGGGGTGGGGTATAGGGATGGGTTGGTAGAGGTTGATGGGGATGGGAAATGGGTAAAGGTTAGAAAAGAGTTTTGGAAAATGTTTTTCCTTTTCTTGATAGAGAAAACATTTTTCTCCAATTGGATGAAAATGAGTTAATGAAGAAAATGTTTTCCAAAGCATTTAAGCCAACCAAATATGAAAAAACTGAAGAATATTTTTCGATCTTTTGTGTATAATCCTGCATAATCTCGAATGTTATCAGTTCCGGTACGTAGACCAAATAATACAATGCAAGCAAAAGTTCCTAGATTCATGAAAATATAAAACAACATATAAGTTATCATGCTTGCATATCCATCATTTGAGTCTCCAACAATTATTCCAATAATTACATATCCGATTTGGTCTATAGACGAATATTTTGAGTAATTGCAATGAGATTTCTCAATATCATGCTAAGAATAGATGGGATTTCCAAAAGAAGATGCCATTTGTTTGATGAGAAATAAAAAGGAACATTGAAAATTCAACTGGCTGAAGTTGGAGCAGCAACTTTCGAAGTAACAGAAAGAAAAGCAACGACTAGAGTAGGAGAGTCAGAATCGAAAAGATGATTCCTCACTTCTTTCTCTGATTAAAAACAGTGTGAGGAATTTCGACCCAACGACTAGAGTAGGAATTTCTCTGAACAAAGTGTCCCCTATGAAAAAAGTTTATTTTAAAGTTTAAACCCAATACACGTCTAAATTCTAACTGAATGAAATAATTTCGACCATGCCACCACACTTGTGGTGGTTCTTATAATGATTAGATTAGATTACATAGGCCCATTTGGCCATACATTTTGGCAACCTTTTTTCAAATTTTTTTTAAAAATATTGTTTGTTCATAGATTAATGATCTATTTTTGAAATTATTTTTAAAGTTCCCAAAATCTAATATAGAGTAGATTGAAACTTGTTCTCCCACTCACAAAATTTCAATTTTTTTTTAAATAAAATGCATGTCCAAACATAATTTCAACTTAGTAATATGAGTGAATTTTGAAAAACAGTTTTTTGGAGTTTTTTCAACTTTTCAAAAAATTCCAAAATTCATCTTTAAGTGAAAATTAAAAATTTTATGGTCAAACACTGATTTCGAAAAAAGCGAAAACTTTTCGAAAAAAAGTGAAATTTATCTTTATGTCCAAATGGCCTCTAAATTTCCTGTCCATATGCTACATGTTCCTTCTGTCTCTTTCTCTATTGCATTTTTGTTTGAGGGGGGAACGATCCAAACTATATTAAAGTAATTATTATTAGATTCAAATATTCAATAGTGATAAAGCAGAGGGTAAAGAAGCACTAGTTTTAAATTATATTATCCTTATCTGCGCAATTTTTTCTCTCAATATTGAATTAAACATGATTTAAAGTTTAAGCCAGTACCCATTTGCTTTTAAGCAATTATTGGAAGAAACATTTTATTGCAATATTCCTTCTTTTGTCTTACTATGGCCCCATTATATAATTTATATTTTTGGATTTTTTTTTTAATTTTCTGCATACTATGTTTGAAAGAAATTAGTGAAAATGCATAAAGTATCCACTAAATTTGTCAGCAAAAATCATTTGCATACCTAAACTTTACGGGTGTCCTAACACCCCACTATTCTTATCTAAACTAAATTTAATATCCCATTAAGTGATGACCTGACATGAAAAGTGTAGCTCATTTCGTAGATGCGCGTGAGGAAAAAAAAAAGAAGCTTTAAACTAATTTAATTGTTCAGGTGTCACTTTCCTATTGGATACTCTAACTAATTAAACTTAATACTAATTTTTTCTCTTTTCTTATTTATTTTCTTTTCTTTTTCGTTTCTTTTTCTCTTTCTTCATTTTAGCAAACCAGTGCCACCATCTTACTCCCCATTTCTTGAAACTAAGTCATATTTTATCTTTTGCTTCTCTTTTTCTTCTTCTTGTTGAGTTTCTATTTCCACTCGCCTGTTTTCTTCACCATATTCCATCAATATAATCCTACTGCAAAGAATTAAAAAAAAAAAAAAAGACAAAATATCTCACAACCAAAGGCTTATTTTTTGGATTGATTTTAAGGTATTTTGAAGCTGTAAATTGGTGGTTTTGAGGGCTAATTTCAGCAGGTTTTGGGGAGGTTTCAGGGCTGGAATTTGCTGTAATTTTCAGTGATTTTAAAGGGGGGAAAACTGCTGGAATTTGGGGGTGTCTTGGAGCTGATTTTCGCAACTGATTTTGCTCCGATTTTTTGGTGGATTTTGAGGTATTTTGGGGTGAGTTTTAGGTGTTGATTTTGGGGGTCAGTTGTGGGGGGTTTGAGCTCTGTTTTGAGCTGCTTTAGGGCTGTTTTGCCAGCTAATTTTTAGTAGTTAAAAGGAGCGAAAATAGCGGTCATTTGGTGGCAAATTTACATGACTTTGAAGGATGAAGACATGACTACTGTTTTTGGGTTTTCTTTATGTTTTTGCAGCTCTTCAAGGTGGTTTAGAGCTGGTTCCATGGTGGTGTAGGTGATGATGAAGATGACATGGAAAAAAAGAGTTAAATAAAAAAGTATAAGTGAAAAAAAATAAAGCAGCTTTCGACACGTGGCACGTGTGTACTACACATCCCAATACAAGACTGACTAAGTGTTACCAATAGGGTATTAAATTCACCCCAAACAAGAATAGGGGGGATATAGGTCGCCCATAAAATTAAGGTGTGTGAATGATTTTTCCGAACAAGTTTAATATGCAATTTATGTATTTTCTCAAGAAATTATTATTGAATTATTTGATAGGTGTATGGATGGGCATCGTGTGTAAGTTTGTCAGCTTTTTCAAGTATAATTTTTGGCCTTTACCAATACGTAGCCAGCTTTAGTTTTTGTAGTTCTTAGTGGGCGTTTGGACATAATAAGAATTGTAAAGTTCCAAGAAAAAGCGAAAAAAAAAAATTCAAGTGAAATATTTGAAAATTAGAGTTGTGTTTGGACATGAATATAATTTTGGGTTATTTTTGAAGTTTTGTGAGTGATCTGAATGAAAATTTTGAAAAACAACCTTTTGGAGTATTTCAGATTTTCGAAAAATTCCAAAATGCATCTTCAAGTGAAAATTGGAAATTTTATAACCAAACACTGATTTAAGAAAAAAGGAAAAAGTTAAAAAAATTCTTATGTCTAAACGGGCTCTTATTGTTTTTACCTTATGAAAAACTGACACTTACCAAAACCATCAAGTGCATGAACTACATTTTTCCCGAAAAGTGACTTTTTAGTAGGCCGGGTTTGGACGTATATAAATTGCAATTTTTGAAAAAAAAATAGTATTTGGAGTTAAGTTGAGAAACGTAATTTGAAATTATGTTTGAACATGCATTTCACTTGAAAATATATTGCAGTTTTGTTGAGTGGGAAAAAAAATTCTGAAAATTTTGGAATTCTTTTTAAAAACTTACAAATTTTATGGACAAACATATTTTTGAAAAAAAAAATTAGAATTTTTTTTAATAGACAAACGAGGCCTTAGTATTCAAAAGGAGTGGATCCAACATGCAAATGCCACACCTATCCTTTCTCCATTAAGTTCAAACTTTTATTTCAAGTGACGAGACTGTTTTAAAGAAAATCAAAAGAAAAAAGTTGGGTGCAAGTACGAGTTTGTTGGATTAATTTCACGTATGATTATTAAACTGTTAGTTTATTATACTAAGAAATTACAAGATTAATTTTTATAACGGAAAAATTAACTCAATTATTGTCACTTCAACTACTCACCTTATATAATATCCATGTATACTTTACAAAACTACATGATGGTGTAACATGGTGAGCAACTCACCTCACGTTTTAGGAACCAAATGAGGAATCACACGTAGACGGACCTGAGCATTCTCCTGCTCTACGGAGCCCTCTTGAGCTAGAGTTGGGGCTGCTTGGGCTTTTGAGGAGCGAGAGAAATTGTTGGAATTCTATGAAAGAGTCTCGACATTAGACATTAGACATTAGGAACCAAAGAGTATCAATATATTACTATTACGTGCACCACTTACAAATGGGGATGTAGCTCAGATGGTAGAGCGCTCGCTTAGCATGTGAGAGGTACGGGGATCGATACCCCGCATCTCCATTTTCTTTTTTCCCTACTTGAATAACTTTTTTTTTTCTGAAGATTACTAACAATAATGTATCCAATTTTATTTGTTCTCATCAATCTTGCTTAATGTATTTTGTGTGTTAATGGAATTCACGTTTTCTGGAATTTTCATCATTATGTGACACTTGATTTTAACTTAATAAAAACAGCTCTAACAGCATAACCTGTAATTTGTACAGTGGAGAGAATACTGTCTCCTTACCAGTAATAGCTTGGAACTTTTCCTTTCAACCATTTTATATGTATTTACAAGGTTATATACTGCAGGGGCGGAGGGAGAGTATCGGTGACGGGTTCGGACGAATTCAGTAACTTTTACTTAATACTTTATTTTTATATTAGAAAATTCATTAAATATGTATAAAGGTTTAATTGCTAACCAGTAACAAAACGAGTTATGAGTTCGATAACAAGTTCAGAACCCATAAACTTCAAATTCTGACTCCGCCAGAGGCGGATTTGTAGGCATTTACACGGGGCACGTGAACCCATAGTCTTTCCGTCAAACTAGGTATTTTATGTACATATTTTTTAGAATTGGTCTAGAATTATCTGCTGACACCATGCTCCAAAGAGACTAAATGATGCACTTGGTTGAATGTTGAGTTATTTACTTAGAGGATTAGGGATCAAATCCCACTTAATACTTTTTTTTTCTCCTTTTTAAGCGGTGCACCCATGTTATTAAAATCCTAGACCCGCCTCTGGACTCCGTGTCGAAATTCTATTATATGTTAATACCTGATATTCTTTCAACAAACTTGTGTTTATAATCACAAGCTTTAACTCATTAATCCTCTAGATATGGTGCGATTTTTTGTTTAGTTCCCACTTTTGTAAGTTAAATCTTCAGTTTGTGCTGCTTTTTTGTTATCTTTTACTTGTCCTGTATATGCAATGAAAAGAAAATCAAATGAAATTCCAACAAAGTTCCAAAATTTACTAGTAACATTCCTCTTGCTATAAGAAAATTACTATTTCCATATATGCTTCAATATTCATTTGGGAATCTACAAAATGACAAACAGAATCCAAATATATGTAGTTTAAGACATTTTTTCCATGACTTCTTGTAGAATTGTAGTTGTTTCTTGATAACATGTTTGTGTTTGAGGCAAGTTTTTTTGCTTCACTGCATCTTCAAGCTGCATAAAAAATGGAGCAAAAACACAAGAGGGTTATCAAAAAGCTACTACTGCTACCTACATCAAACCTATGTTGCTCATACTCTTCAAAAATACTACCGGACGCTAATAACGGAGCCGAAATTTTCACTAAGAGGACTCAATATTTAAAGAAGTAAATACACGAAAAAGTTAAGGGGATTCAATACATAGTATATATACAAAGGAAGCGGATTTATAGGGTAATTTATTGGAGCAAGTGCACCAATAGTCATTCTCAGGAATGCTATTTAGAGATTAGCCAGTACATATTTTGTCCTTAAATTTTATACTAAAAATCTTAACTTCAGAACAATTCAAGATACTTTTGTCCCGAAAATTTGCTGAAAAACTGAAATTTAGGACGCATTTGCTAATTCTTAAATAATAGCCTTTTAAAGTTGCTACGTGGTGTCATTTCTACTAGTTTACTGGGGCACGTGAACTCATATTCTCTTCGTCAAACTAGGTATTTTATATATGTATTTTCTAAAATTTATCTAATATTATCTATTAGCACCCATACTCTACAAAGACTGAATGATGCACTTGGTTGAATACTGAATTATTTACCCAAAGGAACATGGATTGATTCCTATTAAGTACTTTTTTATTTATTTAGTGGTGCACCATATTCCAGAAATCCTAGATTCGCCTATGTATATACATAAAAAAAAGGTTTTACTTATCTAAACAATATACTTTTCCAGTGAAGGGATGTCAGTTGACACCCCTTGAAGCTAAGTAGCTCCGCCGCTATCGGCCGCCTGGTGCGCGAAGGATCAGATCCAACACTTGCACGACAACATTTTTTGGAGGATCTAAGCAACATAATATTATCATGCAAATGAAAATCAAGAGGGGAATTGAGTCTACCTTTTCAACATTGTCAAATAATCTATTGGCAAGGTCCATTAGAGGTTGCTTATCATTAACTTGAGCAGCTGAGATTACTTCATCAAAATCAAAGTACATGAATGTTGACTTAATGCGCAAATACTTCCTTACATAATTCCAAGCATCTGATCCTATCAAATCTCCCAAAGCTAATAGATCAAAGGCATATCTTTTCAGCCTATGGATTCTCCCTTTTGTTCCAATGTTGGCAATGTAAATCCCTTTCTTCAAAAATGTTCTCGTACCCGTCTCCTTGTTTATTATGTCTATATCAAAGATTAAACATTTTCAATATATACGCAAAGCGGAGTGAAATTATGAACAGATGACTCGATTCTTGATCTCTTATCATATATATGCAAGAACTAAGACTCGACTTATGAACATCGTAAGAGAAGGGAAAATGGTCAAATTTGCTCCTGTACTATACGAAATTAAGCAATTTTTGATCTAATGTTACCTCGTCGTTAGGAAAAAGTCTCTTTTTTGCCCGTGACTCCTAATGGATTCCGACCTGCCGGTAAATTTAGACCATACTAAAAGCTTCAAGGGGGGTAAATTTGGACCTTTCTTCTCGATTAATTTGGACACGTGGAGTCATCCAATTTCATACTAGAACTTCGTTAATGATAAAGACAGATACGAGACGATTTGTTAAAGGCAAGAGTATGATAGAATCTAAGTGTAACGGGCCAGAAAAATCATAAGAGAAGGGGAACATGGTCAAATTTGCTCCTTTACTATTCGAATTTTAGCAATTTTTGGTCTAATGTGACCTCACCATTAGGAAAAATTCTCATTTTTGCCCTTAACTGTCAATGGAGTTTGACGTAAGGGTAATTTTAAACCATACTAAAAATTTCAGGGGTAAATTTGAATTTTTTCTTCTCAAATAACTTGGACACATGGAGTCGTTTCATTTCAAGCTTGAACTCTATTAACGAAAATGACGAGACGATTTGCTAATGGCAAGAGTATGAATAGACCAAAAGTGTAACGAACCAGAAAAACCGTGTTTAAAAGGTGAAAAGAAAGCTTACTATTGGATGCTGAAGGAACTGGTAATGGACCAGTGATAAAAAATCCATTATTATCTTCAGCTAGAGAATTTCCAATGCCAGAATTTGCAAATAAAGCAATTGAAGCAAGGCCTAATGCTAGTCTTCTTGTAGTCTGTGTTGGTAACTTTTCTTGAATTTCTTCTGTCTTTTTGCTTAAAAAGCTAACTGGTTTTGTTTTCTTTTGAATTTTCTCAACACAATGAAGTTTGGGAATGAGTGAAAGAGCTTCAAATATACAGTTCAAATTTGTTGTGTTAGCCATAACTGGTGTTGAATCAAGAAACAGAAATGATAGGCCATTTGAACTTTTTGCAGTTATATCCATTTGAAGATTGTTGTTAACTACTGACCACTAGAAGGATATCCCAATAGAGGACAAATATGTAATTCCGTCGGTATTTTTTTTATTTATTTTTATCTGATATATATAGTTAGCGTTTTTTTTCCAAGATCTGCTCTTATTAGTTTAATATCTGTTATATGGGTCATCGCTTCACATCATAGTAACTCAAAAATTTTTAGGGGAAGGTCCTTCACAATCAAATTGAGAAAAAAAAAGAAGGTTGCCAATATCATATGGATTAATTATTATTTTTATCACATTACCAATTAATATTTAATTTTAAGGACTTTCAAAAATAGCCAGATTTACAAGTGGTCATCCAAAAATAGTCATAATTTCAAAAGTAATCGAAATTTAGTCACTTTTTATGTAAAGATAAATCTGGATGAAAACACTATTCAAAATCCGAAAAAATACTCCAGTATAATATACTGGAGATCGGTGCACCTGTGTGTGAACTTCCAGTATATTATACTGGAACTTTTTGCGTGTTGGAGTTCCAACATAATATACTGAAAGTTCACACACAGGTGCACCGATCTCCAGTATATTATGCTGGAACTTTCCGTGTTGCAGCAAAATAGTGGCTATTTTTCAATGACTTTGCAAATGCTGGCTATTTTTAAATAACCAGTCCGAAATATGACTCACTCGTGCTATTTTAACATTTATATTAGTAGCAAGGCTCAAAAACATTGGTTTAGTGGTAAGAACGTAACACATGATGTGTAAATTAGACGTATATCACAGGGTAGTGAAGGATAAAGAGGCACAATATCCGCTGAGTTTTGAACCATATGCCCCTCGCAAATTTGCCAGTTTTCAAGAGAATATATGTTAGCATTAAGGAAGAATTGTCAAACCCCAAATTTATGTGTCTACAAGTAATTCTTTTACTCAATATAAACAGTATTTTCTAACAAGCAAAAGTTTTTTTCATTTTTTATTATGAATTATGATATTTTTTATAGTAAAAGCAGTTAGAAGTAAAATAACAGAATATGGGGACGAAATAATTAGGCCTTGTTAGTGTAGTTATTGCCCTTAAGGAATTTAAGCCTTCCAATTTCGTTGCTGCAGAGATTATGATAGAATTCCTCCAGGATTCTACAAAACCTCTGAAATTCGAATACCGACAATTAACTCGAATTTCCACTTGAACAAAAGCAAGCTTAAAACTTCAAACGTCCGTGTGCCAAAAAGTTAAACTGTAAACAAATTGTTATAGTTTGTAAAATTAATACATAACTTTTTTATTGTAAGAATTGGTTCTTTTGGCAAAAAGGTCAAAAAAAGGCCTAATTTTATTTGACAAACAATTTGGTGGAACTCCATTTATGATACAATAGAGATAGAGATCGTTTCACAATTTCAAACATATTAATGCTTTAGCGCTTAGTTGGGTTTCTACCCGATGTTTGATACTTGCTTTTGAATTCAAACTGCTCGGGATTCGTGTCATATAAGATTCATTAACGGGGAAATCGCCTCTTATAAAAAACATTCATTCCTAGAGCTCGAACACAAGACCTCCAATTAAAAAAAAAAAAATAATACCAATACCCTTTCCCGTCGATTTTATAAGATGTTATTTGATTGGATGTTATGTATTAATTTGATTTATGTATTATATTAATGGGAGGAGAAGAAAGTATTAAAGTAATGAGTGAAAATTTAATTTTGTAGAGAAAACATTATATCAAAAGTTTAAATTTAATTGATTTAAAGAATTGGATGATGTCACTGACTATAAATAATGTTACAATTGAATTCCATCCAATTATATATAGAACATCCTAAAATGAAAAGAGTGTTACATATTTTAAAATGAATACAGTAGTTTTCAGGTACATATTGCTTTCCGCGATTCAAATAAAAATTAACGTGGAACAGAAAGTAATTGAGATAATGAATATTTTCTTCGTAGAAGAATTAATTAAATAGTTGTTGCCCTAATCACTTAATTCAAAATAGTTAAACGGATCTAAAAAATAAACAGTAAATTCGGCCGGTTATCTATATTTATATTATATTAAAAGCACGAAAGCCTTAGTGAAATGTCGTTCGTCTTTTTTACCCTTTTAAAATAAAGTTTACAATAGACAAAATAGTCATTTAATTATTTCCCTAATATCAGTTTATAGAAACAATATGCAGGAGGTTTCTATGATCGGGCAGTGCTGAATCAACTAAGAAGGCATTGATCACTTGGGATAAATTATGTGCTCCAAAGGCAGCAGGAGGGCTAAACTTCATCAATGTGGAATTGTGGAATAAAGCAGCCATATGCAAGCTTCTTTGGGACATCTGTACAAAGAAAGAAAAACTGTGGGTTCAATGGATACATGCCTACTATATAAAAGGGAACACTATATGGAACACTGAGCCAAAGAGTGCATCATGGGTTATCCAAAAGATCTTCAAGGCCAAAAGACAGTTTGAAGAGCCCGGTTATTCAGAAGAAGAAGTGAATCGAATGGAAAAGTTCTCTATAAAGCACATATACAAAGCATTGCAAGGGAACTTTCAAAAGGTATCACGAAGGAAGATAGTCTGCAATAACAATGGGCTTCCAAAATGGATATTCATCTTAAGGTTGACACTACAAGATAGGTTAGCCACCAAAGAAAGGCTAGCAAGATGGGGACTAATAGAAGACACAGTATGTTCACTGTGTCAGAGAAAGAATGAAACAATACAACACTTGTTTTTTGTATGTGAATATGGCAGAAGCTTCTACACTGGCAAAGAATCTCGAGAAGGAAGAAAGATTGGTAAGAAGAAATGCAGTGGGCAGAGAAGGTGGCCAAAGTAGCAATATACAGAATATTGTTAGCTGCAACAGTCTATCATATATGGCAAGCAAAAAATAGTACCATTTTCCAGAAGAAGAAGAGTAATGCAAATGTTATAGTTAGATTGATTATCCAAGAGATACACATTAGAGCTCAACAAGTTGCAAAACTGGATAGCTATTTGAGTAATATGAATTAGTATCCAGATTGAGCTTAAGTGTTGAGGCAATAGGAGAACATGAAGTAAGTTAGAAAATCTCCTTGCTGGGGCTTCATGTCCAGCAGGAGCTCTGTTAGACGGGTTGAATTTTGTAAAGGTGTAAATATTTTACTTGGTAAATAAAGTCTTTAATTATCAAAAAAAATTATTTCCCTAATATTTTGCATTTTGAAGTCAACTAAAACTTTACTTATTAAAGTTTTCCTTATTTGAACGACTACACAAAAAAATCTAACATTTAGGATATCAAAATCAAGTACATTTACCATATACAATATTATAATATTACAATACTAATAATATAAATGTTTACGTGTTATATTTCCTGAGAGGATGTGCATACAATTAATGGAAGGAAACGGCCAAACTTATAATTGAACAATAGCCCAACCATAATTTGAAAACTAACAAAGGCAGCAAAATTTAGGAGGAGATAACGAGATATATAAATACGATCTTATCATTTTCACTTATTTATATTAAACATATGCTAATTAATTCAAAAATTAAGAAGACAATTAAATAACTTCGATAAGTGGGGACAAAGCGAGAATTCATAATAAAGCATCTGAGAATTTATGTAGGACATGATTTTTTCTTTTAAGTTAGCTAAATAGGATTAACATTCATCATTTTTAGGACCTTGCATTTTTTTTCTATAATTTTTTTAATAACTCATACACATTGGTGAATATGAATATGTAATATTTAAAAGTTATATATTCATGATTATAGAGTACACGCGCAAAACGCGTACCCTAAGACCAGTTTAAGTAAAAATTCCTATGTTGTAAGCCGTAAGGTGTCCAATATATGTCCAAATAGATCCCAACTTGTTTTAAACTTTTAATTCTTTTCACTGGTAAATTTTTTCTTTCAAATCAATTATACGCATGAGGATTTCTTTATTCCACTAAATTGCTTGACTTTAAATTAGCATATAGAAATTAGAGCATATGGCAAACCTTACTTCCATAATTGGCGTCAATGCAAATTTTGTCATCAAGTTTGGATACCTTTCGGGAATTTTTAAATTTAATTTGTCTTCTGTATCATATTTTAAAATATTTAGTTAGAGATAATCAAATATAACTCATAGGGGGGCGAAAGTGTAAAATTTTCATAATATAGGATGTGTATGTGTTTAATTTGAAAACGCAATGGATGTATGAGAAGTTAAGTCAAATATAGGGGTATTTAGAGTAATTTAGACAAAAAACGCAATTGAAGACCGTGATTAATAAGTCGTATTAGACAAATGCGATTTAGAAGCTGCATTTGATTATTGCGATTTATCTATTATTGCGATCTATAAGTCGTATCCGCACATTGAAGTCTCAACTACCACACTATTACTATACCAAACGCACTCCACGAGTGGATTAGTTGAGTGACTAGACTGATACTCTAGGAGACTAATACTATCAAAAAGAAAGTAGAACTATAAATCAGTCGTAAAAATTGCATGGAGCGCCCTATTTGGTCGCCCTTTTTAACTTGTACCCGTTTTGTTTTTCCGTTTGCATCCATACTCATTTTTTGTTAAAAGCATTTTAAAAAGACGATTTTGCTCTTCTTTAATAAAAGACCACTTTCAGCAAAATAGACTGAAGTTTCGGATAAAACTCATGACAAAACTGTAGATTGCAGGACAAAACTTCAACATGTTTTGATATGAAATTTAGCAAATGAACTAAATAACTTCAGCGTGCATTAGCAAAAAATAAAAGTTTAATTTGAAGTTTTAGCAATTGAACTAAAAACTTCAACTTGTTTAGACTGAAGTTTCAAATAAAACTCATGACAAAATTGTAGACTGCAAGACAAAACTTCAGCATGTTTTGGTATGAAGTTTTAGCAAATGAACTAAATAACTTCAACATGCATTAGCAAAAAACTTAAGCATGCTTAGTCTGAAGTTTTAGCAAATGAACTAAAATACTTCAACTTGTTTAGACTGAAGTTTTAGATAAAACTCATGA